AATGGGGGAAGGTTTTTTTCCTCTATGCGATTATATGTTTTTAATTTAAAAAAATACAACAAATGTACTTAGTGTGATTGGTTATGATCTTTGTTTTTCTTTAAAGTGGTCATGGTTCGAATCCTAGTAAGTGTCTTTTTAATGAATAAAAAAAAGTAATTGTGAAGACCAATATGTCCTTCCTACTTTCACTCTGGATGCAAGAAATTTGAAATGGAGCTTCAAGTTTTCTCATTTGGCTTTTATTTATTGTGTAGATAGATAGATAGATTGAATTGTTGCCCTGGATGATGGGTGGGTCACTAATTGGGTGGGCTAACGGTCACGGAGCAGTGGAGATGAGGCCGGAGGAATGGGCTGGTAGTTTAATGGGCTGGAGGCGGGTGAGGATGAATGTACTACTCATTTTGGTAAAGAGTTTGGGCTAGGGCCCAAAGAAGGAGGAGGATTAACATAGCTGGCCAGCTGGGCAAAAAAGTAGACTGCAGGGATTAGAGAGGGGAACGGATCAGGTCAGTAACTCAATGATCAGTAACCATGAGTAACATTTTCATATCTGCATGACATCAGTATTCTCTCTCTCCTGTAAAGTCTTTTATTTTTCTCCTTTAATTTTTAACGGACGATTTCTCTATCATTTTAAGTCAAAATTTAATTTTTTTGCACAGATAAATCAGATTAAATGTGCTCTTTAAAATGATATCCACTTTGATATATTTTTAGTAAAAAAATTGAATAATTTCTTACTAGTCTTTACCATATGGTATGCTCCTATTTAATACCATATGGTAAGAAAGCGTACCATGATGGTATGAACATACTAATATGGTAAGAAAGTTGAATACATGATAGTAGGAGTATACTAACTATCATTTACGACTTTCATCATTGTTTACTACAAGTTATCACCCACATACCATAGTGGTAAAGTATGGTAATTTTTTATCCAGTATTTTTTTCACCCAGAAATTTATAGATCCAATAGATCATGATGAACTCGTTCCTTCTGAGCAAACGTTTCCAAAAACGACTTAAAAACGAAGAAGTTACCATATGGTATGTAGTTGGTCAAAAAAGTTTCTCGAAATATATTGAAAATTGATCTCATTTTGTAGAGAACAACGAACTCGTTCCATCTGTGCAAAAAAAAAATTGAGTTAAAACGAAGAAGATAAGAGTCGATTAAGAAAACTAGAGAAAATAAAATGTCTTTAATTGACAACCCTTAGATATGAATTTTCAGGACCCACTTAGATCTAAAGGTCCAGATTTAGTTACTCATAGGTCAGTAACCAATGGTTACTGACCCTATCCTAAACCTAGACGAGGGAGGATGAAATAAAGAAGGAATAGGAGGGGTGATTCGAAAAGGGGAATTTGGAGTTATCAAATACAACATGGCGGCTAACATAAATGCGAGACGTCAATGGATCAAAACACCTATAACCTTAATTGTATAAGAGTATACAACGTAGTATGGAAGTGTATTATGGTCGTATGAACATATTAAATTGTAGAATGGTTGAATACATGATAGTAGGAATATGCTAACTGTCATTTACAACTTTCAACATTGTGTACTACACAGATACAACCTCCTATACCAGGGGTGGTATGAGGTGGTATTTTTGTCTTGTATCCCCCCTCCCCTCCAGAAAATTTGTAGATCCAATAGATCATGATAAACTACTAGCGTGGAGCCTCGGCCAATTGACTCCACGCTATGAAAATATTTAAAAAGTAGAGCATAATTGTTATACAAAACGTTCATAAATCTCATATCATCTTACTTTTGTGAGTTTTTATTCTATAATGCCAAAAGAGGATGTTATTTCTTTTTGTGTAGTCCTTTAATGCATATAGATTTGCTTGCCAACGGGCGATAGTATGTTGTATTACTAGGAAGCGGTAGACTGGTTGCCTAAAGTGAAACCGCTTGTCGAAAGCGGTGAACTGCTTGGTGAAATTCGCAGTTGCAGCGCCGACGTCGCAGTTGGAGGAGAGATTCGCAGCTGGGGGTTTCAATTGATGGGTTTAGGGTTGGATTTTTTGGGAAGGGTTTCGATTATTGGGTTTGGGGGAAAGAGAAGAGAGCCATCGGGAGACAGGGGAGAAGAAGAAGGTCTCCGTGAAAAGAAAACGAGGGTCTCCGGTAGAGGGGTGTGGCAGACACTGGGAGTCACAAAGAGGGTCTCCGTGAAAGAAAAAGAAGAAAGGGGTAGGGTAGGTTTTTTTTATTTTTATTTTTAATAATTAAAAATTATATATTTAATGATTTGTTGATGTGGACGCCAACATGGATGCGGACTTGGTAGTTTTCGTTACAAAATAAATGGCGGTAACGGATTTTTAGTCATATCTTGACCCGCAACAATAATTGTAGCTAATAATTTGTATTTCGATACAGTTGTCGCTATAATTCCCCGCTTCTTAATAATCATGCCTAATATATTGTGTTTATCCTCATTTTTAACTAATCCACAAGTAATTTACTCGTCGCTACAACTACCGTAATCATCACCAATTTCCACGACAAGTTACACATTTTATACAAAACACGCTGGGAATTGAATTCTCCACACCTTAATGAATTATTAAACTATGACTATGCACATATGCTTCCTAGACTGTTCCCTTGAGTTTCCAGGTAAAAACTATGAACCCACCACCTAGCTACAACAACAAACATCAACAAAAAAGACCTTGACCTTTTTTTTTCTTTCTCTTCACCGGTTAACTTCTACGTCACACACACACTATATATAAAGCTAGCCAGCTGCCGATCATCAAAATCTCTCTTTTCCATCAACTCCACCACCACTAGCTATAATGGCGGCTCTAACACAGAACATCTCTCTCGTCCTTTGCTTAACACTGCTAACCATCTTCTCCCCATGCAAATCTTCGATTATATCCATTAATCCCAACAACGGCCAGCCGCCGCTACTCTATCTCCCGGTACGGAAAGACGCCGACACTCTCCAATACGTCACTGTGATCCAACAGAGAACTCCTCCGGTTTCCCTGAACCTGACCCTCGACCTCGGCGGCCGCCAGCTGTGGGTCGACTGCGACCTGCCGTACGTCTCGTCGACCTACTCGCCGGCTCGCTGCGGCTCCCCGCACTGCTCCCTCGTTGCCGACTCCAGGAGCTGCTTCAACGACTGCTTCTTCCAGTCCCAGCCCGGGTGCTACAACGACACGTGCGGCCTCGTCGTCGATAACTCCGTCGCCGGGATTGTCACCGGCGGCGAGGTCGGCATGGACGTCATCTATGTCCAGGCACCAGCGGCCATGCGGGGTATTTCCGGGATGGAAATGGTCAGGTATATTATATATATATACACCAATCATACTTAAATATATATGGGTTTTCTCATTTTATCATTTAGTTATAGTGACATGCTCCACATTATATAAATGAATAAAAATAGTGACATGCTCCAAGTTGTTTCCACAAAAGATTTTCTATCTAGAATAAGAGTGAAGTCTCTCGTCACCACTTTAGGTGACAAAACACTTAATTTTGGGTTATTAACGTTATATTTGCGTTATTCACGTCATATTTGTGTTATTTGCGTCATATTTGCATAATTCACGTAAGAGCGTTGATTATTCACACAATCAATATTATTAGGTCACGCCACCTGATGTTTATTCACACATATTGTTAATTATTCACGCCGTTGTAAAATAAAATTTTAAACTTTGAAATATATCAAAATGGATGTCATTCTATAGATTATAATCAATGTAACATATTTGTGCATATTAAATGATAATCCAAATTTAATTTCATAAAATATAGCCAATACAAATTATTAGGGGTAAAAAGTATGAATTTCCATTTACGTGAAAAACTTACACTCTTACGTAAATCACTATAGTATTACGTGAATGAGCACAAAATGACATGAGTGAATATAAAATGGCGTGAATGACCTGGTATTAGGTGTTCCGTAAACCAAAGTAACAAAGAGATCTGAATAATAATTAGATGCTGTTCATTCATTTTTAAACAGTTCTTTTTTTTTTTTTTTTGTGGCAGCGTTCCTGAGTTTCTGTTCACGTGTGGCGCCAGCTTTCTACTGGAGGGGCTTGCCGACGGCGTTTCAGGGATGGCCGGACTAGGGAGGACAAATATGTCATTTCCCTCCCAATTCTCCGCCGCAAGCAGCGGCGGCATGGGCAAAACCTTCTCCCTCTGCTTGGGTCCCACCACAGGAGCCGTCCTGTTTGCTCCACCCGCTGCAGGTTCCGACGTGGCAAACTCCCTCGTCTTCACCCCGCTGCTGACGAACCCGGTGAGCACGGCCACGTGTCACAACGGCGGCGAGGCTTCCTCGGAGTACTTCGTCAGGGTCAAGTCAATCAAAGTCAATGGCACCCCGGTCAAGGTCAACGCAACACTATTGTCCATCGACGAGCAAGGTCGCGGCGGGACGAAGATCAGCACCGTGGATCCTTACACTGTCCTGGAGAGCTCGATCTACGACGCCGTTTTGAACGCTTTCGTGGAGGCTAGTGGTAAATATAACATGACCAGGATATCCTCGGTGGGCCCATTCGGGGCGTGCTTCAATGCGAGCGGGATCAGGATTACGAGGTACGGCCCCGCGGTGCCGAGAATTGAGGTGGAGTTCGAAAACGGCGTCGCAGCGTGGCGGATTCTGGGAGCGAACTCGATGGTTCGGGTCGGGGAAGCGGTGACGTGTCTCGGGTTGGTGGATGGAGGTGCGAATCCCCGGACGGCGGTGGTGTTCGGAGGGCATCAGTTGGAGGATAATCTCGTGGTGTTTGACATGGAGCGGTCTCGGGTCGGGTTGAGTGGGTCGATGTTGGGCCGGGGGAGGAGTTGTGCCGGGTTTGTGGATAGAATTACTACAATGGGATCCTACACGGGTCGGGATTTGACTCTTTAATTTCGGGCCCAGTTCATAAAATTGGGCTACTTTTTTCTTAAGCATGGACCACAAAACGTGCTTATAAGCACATAAACCACTGTAATCACAATCATTAGTCCCTAAAAACGGAAGTTGGAGCACTCGACGCTCTCAGCCAAAAGCGTATTAGTAAAACCCATCGTCCCAGACCCCAAATCGAACTGAACCAGAACCCCTTGCATCTGATACGCTCCGATCACCGCCGCCACCGTGGCCCCCTTCGCCGTCATCGGCCCGCCGTCCACAAAACCCAGACAAAACACCTCCTCGCTCACCTCCACCACCGAATTCACCCCGAAGATATCCCACTTCACCTCCGCGCTCTCGAAAACCAGGGCGATCTCCGGCACGGAGAGCCCGCTAAGCGACATCGGCAGATCGCCCTTCTCGTAGCAGTTCCTGAACGGCGCCACTGTCGCCGCCTTCTTCACCCTCGGCGTCTTCATCACCTCGATTTCAAAAGCCCTCACCAGAGATCTGTAGATCGAGCTCCCCAGTACTGTGTACGGATCCGTCGTGCTCACCCTCGTCCCCCCGATTCCGCTCGGCTGAAACTCCAGCAGAGTGGAATTGATCCGAATCGGCGATCCCTCGACTAGAATCGAGCTGATTTTGACGAAGTAGTCCGGAATTTCGGATCCGCGGGCGCCGGGGGCGGTCGTCCGGCGGTAATTGGTATGGAGCTTCGTGTAAATTAGTCTGTACGAAACGTCAATTGAGCGGGTTTCGTTGTCGGAAGGGTAGAAAACGTAAGGAGAATCGCCGAAGAACATGATTCCGTTGGAATCAGGGGACGAGGGCAAGCAAATCGCGAATTTCGCGGCTAGGGTTGCAGCTGAGGAGAGCTGGGAAGAGACGGAGACTCTGCTTCTAGCGAGACCTACTGATCCGACTACGCCGGCGGCGAGATGGCCCAGGTGGTAGGAATCGTCGCAGGCGAGGATGAAATTGGGGATGGAGACGTGTTTGCCCGCCCTGCCACCGCCGATGGTGGAGCGAAGCGTGACCGTATCGACTGCGACCTCGGATAAGCTGTCGGTGCTGCGAATCGGGTTTCGGGTCTTGAGCTGGCAGGTGTTGTTGTGGCAGCTGGGTCCTGAGGCGGAGTGGCAGATGCCAGAGCAGGCAGCTGCGGTGACGGAGCAAGGGGCGGAGCCGCATTTAGCGAGGCGGTGTGTGGAGGAAGTGGAAGCGGAGTATCTAGCCGTGGTGTAGCAGTCGAGCCAGGGGATTTGGCCGGCGAGGTCGACTATGAAGGTTCTTGTGATCGCAGGTGTTCCAATGTGGAGGTGGGTTAGAATTTGGTTAGTGGCCCGGTCCCTGGAAAGCGGGAGGAACAACGATTTGGATTTAGCTTGTTGTTCTTGTCGAGCCTGAGAAAAGACAGCGGAAATGGAAAGCAAAAGAGTTACGAGCCCAAACTGAATGAGGGAAGCCATTGATGGAAGAATTGAAATGGGAAGGTTTGTGGGTTTTTTTGGCGAAGGAGGGTTATATTATTAAGTAGTAGTGAAGATATCTGCTTGTTTGCCTTGCCACCATTGACGACTGGATTGAAATGCTTGGGTTGTTGAAATTGATTACTGCCTGTCTGCCACTAGTTACTTGAGCATGGTCCAGACGCCAGTGCATATGCAGATGATGATAAGTGTATAACGAGTCAAAAAATATCAGGATCAAGGGTTGAAACTTGAATGCCACTCTGACTCGAGGACCATGGGGAGTGAATGCAGTGCAGCAGCAAGCAACTTGGAGGAGAGGAAGGAGACAGCTAAGCTATTGCACTTATGCAGCTCGGTATTTTTTGGGGGATCCTATCCATGCTACTAGCATATCCTATTTTAGATCAACAACAATACAGTGAACTAGTGAAGAAGACAAACAAACAGGGCCAGCGGTCCAGGATTTGCTTGTAAAGCAAGGTTATGAAATCGGTTTATATTCTTGCGCAAGTGAAATAGTGTTATTGGTACAATCGATTTGTGTCGGTTTAACAAAATATATGCAATTATAGAAAAACCATAATCATCAAATGAATTCAATTATATTTGAAGATAATTTACTTACAATCTATATTTCTTTTTAAATAAATTACTACATTCCAAATAACATAACAAATACTCATATTTAAATACAATATTTAACGTCAATAGCAAAATATTTATACTTCAATCCAACAAATAACATCAATATTTAGCTTCTAAATTCATGAAATAAATAAGTAAAATTTTATTTAGTCTACAGATTGTATCGATCATACTGATGATGTTTACACCTATTTTACTTGGAGGTCTATACCAACACTGATTAAACCAAGTTCAATCTACCGATATTTTACCTGTGCGAGCGACAACCATATTGTAAAATGTAAACACACTCAACCGCCAAGCCACCCTATCAAAATTGGCATTGAATGCAGCAGCGCGACATGGCTGCGAGGATGGACCAGGTTATTTTGGGCTTTTATTAAGTGCGCCCCTCTTACGACCCACGTAGTGAATGATTAGGTACGTAATGAACGAGCTACCAGTCATGCAATTACGTTAAATCTTGACTGGACCTTTCTCTTTTGACTGCCAGCCGGAACATAAAATCCGCTAACAACCTTTCCCGCCATTCTATCAAACTCCGCCTTGGCGTCTAGAATATTACTCGTTACTTGGTTATCCTTAGTAGTTAGTAGATGGAAGCAGCATATATAGACATGATCGTTACCTTATGATAACACTACGATTGGGGAAAGGCAGCTATATAATTCTTTATTCCATGAGATTAAACGGTACAGTAGCTCTTTTTATTTATGGATAATAGAAGCTTTTCTCTCTTATACAGTGCAAAAGAAAAGCCAAGTACACACTGGTAGTAGTTACAGGCAACAAATTATTCAGAAGTAAAAACAAATCAAAGACCACATCAAATGTGAAACAACGAGCATCGAACCCCTTCCAACAACAACGAATTAGTGAACCCCATCCTCGACGAATGCAGGTCGAAGTGTACCAAATTATCCTGCATCTGATGTGCTCCAAGGACAATAGACGACGTCGTATCGGACCCACCGTCCACAAACCCCAAGCACGCCACGTCGTCGTTTACGTCCACCATGGAATTCTCGCCAAACAAATCCCACTTCACCTCCCTGCTCTCAAACACCAGCGAAATCTTCGGCACCTCCAATCCCATCCTCCCAATCGACAGATCCTTCTTCTGGTAACAGTTCCCGAACGGCGCCACCGCCGCCGCCTTCTTTACCTTCTTCATCGTTTCACTGCTCTCGAAAGCCCTCACTAGCGATCTGTAGATCGAGCTGTCGAGAATCGTGTACGGATCGACCGTGCTGATCGCCGAGCCGCCGATCCCGGTCCGACGGAACTCCAGCAGAGACGAATTGATCGGGATCGGAGATTCCGACACGAGGATCGAGGTGATTCTGACGAAGTAGGCCGGAATCTCGGCGCCGGGGACGTTGGGTGAAGCGGTGCGCTCGTAATTCTTCACCAGCCTCGTGTACTTGAATCTCGTCGAGTAATCGACTCTGTTCGCGATGACGTAAGGGGCGGCGCCGAAGAACAGGACGCCGTCGGAATTCGAATCCGACGGCAGGCAGAGTGCGAATTCGCGGCGGAGGGAGCCGCCGAAGGCGGTCGAGATCTGCGACGGGAGGCCAATTCGCTCGCTGGAGAGCCCGACGGCGCCTTCCACGCCGGCGGCTAGGTTGTCGAGCTGGAATTCATCTTCGCAGGCGAAGATGAAATTGGGGATGGATACGCGGGGCCCGCCACGTGCCCCGCTCGTGGAGGTGGAGTGAAGCGACACCGTATCGAGGGAGAGGGGCGAGATGCCAGCTGTCGTCCGGATCGGGTTTAGGGTCACGACGACGCAAGTGTTGTTGAAGCAGCCGGGGCGCGGGGGGAGGAGGCAGGGACCCGGGCACTCGGCTTTACCGACGGAGCAGGCGGCGGAGCCGCAGCGGGCTAGGCGGTAAGTGGAGGAGGAGTTGGAGTAGCCGCTGTAGCAATCGAGCCAGAGCTGTCGGCCGGCGATGTCGACGATGAATTTCCGGGAGACTCGGGGGGTGCCGATTTCGAGGCGGGTGAGGATTTGGTTGGTGGCGCGGTCTTTGGTGAGCGGGAGGATTAGGGATCTGGGTTTGGATTGGGCGGTGGTGGAAATGGTGAGGGTGGAAAGGATGAGGGAGAGGAGAATTATGGATTGGGGAAGATAATACGTCATTTTGTTCTGATTGAAGAGAGGAGCAGAGGTGTGTGAGTTGAGGAGAAAGATTGGGTTGCAAGGGATTTTATAGAGTTGGATGGAGCTCGGGGATTAGTGAAGCTTGCTTGCCGCCATTGGAGACTGTATTTGTATGTCTTGCAGGGAGCCCGCGCTATTGAGATTTGCTGGGCGACTTTTCAAACACACAGCTTGTTTTTGACCGAAATGAAAGAAAAATCGACATTTGTTTCTTTGCGTTGAATTGAATAAGAGATCAAAATTAATGCGGCATAAAGATTTTTTTGTTGATAACGGTATGATAAACACGACAAAACATGTGGTGCGCTTGATGCATGCATAATGTCTACGTCCGTTTAGTTGAGGTTTTGTCGGCTTGTTTTTTCTCTTTATATTAATTAAGATAATGTTTATTTTTTATTTAAAAGTTTTAGATTCTTTAATATTATCTTAATTTATGGAAATTCGTCAGCAATTTTGTTTGTAATACTGACTTGGCAACATGATATTAACTTGAAAGAGACACATGGATGTCAACATTCCAAAATTTAGTATTTTAACTAAGCAAAAAGTTAGAAATTTATTAAAGATAACGTAAAAATGGCTAATATTTTGATGCATTACGAAATATTCGGCTAATTAATATCATTTTAATAGGTTTGGATAATATAAAAGAATTTGAAAAATATTTTGATAAAAAATAGAAATTACCCTATTGTTTATAAAACTATAGATTTTGACCAGGGGTGGATCTATGATTTGACGTTCCGGGGGGGGGGGGGGGGGGGGGGGGGAGGCGAAAAAAATTTATATTGTTATTCCGTGATAAAAATTAAAAACTAAGCAAGAAAATCACAGTAAATTTACTTTTAATAGTATTATGATTAATAATTTTAGATGATTAGAGTCACAATATTGATGTAGAATAAGTTATGGAAGGTCAAAATGAATAATTTTTTAGTGATATAAAATTGCAAAGTGGTAAAAAAAACTAATGAAATTAAATGAGCAAAAAAAAACAATATTGCAATAATGAAATGAAGAAACCATATAACATGAAACTTGAAAGTAATTATTATCTAATTAAATGAGTAAAGAAATAATAGAATTTACTTTTAATAGTATTATGATTAATAATTTTAGATGATTAGAGTCAAAATATTGATGTAGAATAACTTATGGAAGGTCAAAATGAATAATTTTTTAGTGATATAAAATTGCAAAGTGGTAAAAAAAATAAATTTGAAATTAAATGAGAAAGAAAAACAATATTGCAATAATGAAATGAAGAAACCATTTAACATGAAACTTGAAAGTAATTATATCTAATTAAATGGGTAAAGAAATAATAAAATTTACTTTTAATAGTATTATGATTAATAATTTTAGATTATTAGAGTCAAAATATTGATGTAGAATAAGTTATGGAAGGTCAAAATGAATAATTTTTTTAGTGATATAAAATTGCAAAGTGGTAAAAAAACTAAATTTGAAATTAAATTAGCAAAAAAAAAAACAATATTGCAATAATGAAATGAAGAAACCATATAACATGAAACTTGAAAGTAATTATATCTAATTAAATGAGTAAAGAAATAATAAAATTTAAAAGAGTAATATGCATATATATTAAAACAGAAAGCAAACATAAAAATAATAGAATTGCAGAGGGTGAGTATCAAACCCTCAACCAGCTACGTAATAACTCCCTTCCTCTCCCGCTGGACTAGGCTTACTTTGATTTTTCATATTTGCACACTAAACTTATTAGATAGTTTGTTAATGTTTACGAAAATTTTAATATAACGATAGTAACTTTCACGATTCTCGGGGGGCCGAGGCCCCCCGAGACCAGCTGTAGCTCCGCCCCTGATTTTGACCCAATTAGATATTAAATATTAATGTGCCATTTAGTGGTTAACACTTAACACGATAACACTTCGTTATTTCGTATTCGTACTAGTGACTAATCACAATTCGTGCAATTTATTTCCTCTTACAGTTTCCTTCTTCCCCTAGAAGTCTTCCAGGCTCCAGCCATTTATAGATTAGATTAAATAAAATGATGGTAGTCGGGCAGGGGTGGGCAAACGGTGTCGTCCAACCACATCGCATCATAAGTTTACGGTATCGTGCCACTTGCATGATCGGAAATTAAGAGTGTTACTATTCATCGCCCTAAATTTTTAAATTTTGTCGCCCTAAACCATACAAATTTACAAAACAACCCTTCATTTAATTTTATGGTTCAACCATCTAACCCAACCTATTTAACTCTTTCTTCCAACACAAAACAGAAATATCAAACCAAAATTAAAACCAAACCAGACAACACAAAATCCAACTACAATCTTCTACATTGATAAATTTTCACCGGATTCCGGCGAGTTTGCCGGAGGTAGAGAAGTAGTCGATCTCGATCGTCATAGCATGCAAGGAGTCGGACTAAAGGTAAGAGTTCGTTTGCAATTTATGAGTGTTATTTCAATAATTAGAAAGGAAACTCAAACGAAAATATCACTTGTGTTTCTTTTTGCAATGCAAAACATACTTTCTAAAGTTGTAAACTGGGAAAAAGATAATAATCTTAACTAAACAATTTCAAACTGTCTCAATTAAAAATTGAGATTTTACAATTATTAATTTGAGTAATTATTTTTGTCACATCAATGCATATATATTTTGCGTCACTAAAAAAAAATGTGTATAATATTTGTCTTTACAGAGCTATGTGTTTGCTTTTCTGTCTCATACGTATCACAATCATTGCAACTTATAATACTTGCCTTTATAGCCAGCAATGTAGTGAAAAACGAGTTTCTACGTAGAAACATTTTAGTGATCTAGAAACGTTTTGGTGATCTAGAAACGTAAAATCGTAAGTTTTTATGTTTTAAAGCTGCGTTTTAAATACGTAAGTTAGAAAAACTGAGATTTCCTGTAGAAGCCTTTTGGTGATTTAAAAACGTAAAATCGTAAATTTTTAAGTTTGAAAGCGCGATTTTGACTTCATTGAGAGTAAGAATTAAAAACATTACTGAACCTACAGCCGGTTCAATAATAAAAATCTTCTATTGGAAATTAAACTAGTAGACAATATTTAGCAGTATCAAAGAATTGAACTACGATTAAACTATATTTGTAATATAAAATACTTTATTGTTGAATTTTCCTGTACAATTTTGGATACGACGGTACTTGAGGCTATTCGTTTCTATTTCTGAACCAATTTCTTCTTTGTTCTCTTTTCTTAAAATGTCCTCACGAGTGATCCGACAAGACATATTTATCGTTAGCTTTTAGACTAGCTCTTTGATTAATACTAGCTATGGCAGCCCGCGCTGCGCGGCGGGTGTGATGTAATGTCCGCTTTATTGTGATATTTTTGTTTAGTGTAATAAGTATCTATTATATGAATGCTTTACAGACGTGAGGGAAAAGTCATCCCAGCAAAAGGTCTTAACAGTATTGATGTTATACACACGCATAAAAAGGTCTTAGTAGCAATCACTGTTCATTTGACAAAGAACACCCGACATCTCCGGAAGGAAATCTGTTTTTTAGGAAATGTGTGAACAGAGAGGACTCCAAAGAGTGGTGACAAGTAATTTTTTCTCGTTGTTGTCGTCTCTGTAAACGGCTAATTCTAAGGTAAAATATTTGTTTTCAGCGGCTTTCAGTATTCCATGTTGCTCATAATCCTGTCTTTCTGCAAATTCTTTGGCTGGGATTCGGAGTAACTGAACCATTGCAGTATGGTCGAATTTAATCGTTTGCTTTGATGTGAAGTCTTTGCAGCTTACCAACGCTTCGTACCTGTTTAGTACGATGTATATATTAATCTATAAAGAAACTAAAGAGTTTTTTTTTGCAGAAATTACCATATTCCGGTGTCATTGTGGATAACTACACCACCGTTGTTGATGATATAGTCCACTCGGGCCAAACACCAATATCTCATCTGTCATAAGTAATTGGTTTAAATGAGATCCAACAATGATTTGTATTAGACATGCACGGTAAAATACACACCTGTCTGCTGGTCTGATCAGATTGTAGAAAACAGAGGAGGTTGTTGAATGTAACTGTGGGCGGTATATCTTTTCTGAAAAGCTCGGTCGGTGCAATGGGGTTGTCCTGAAGTACCCTAATAGGCAGGTGGTCGTGGAAGAAGCTGGTAAAATCGTAAAATTTATTAGAAATGGTATACTGATTGGTATATATGGAATTAAAATGTAGGGTGTGGACAAAACCTTTCCATCATTGTCCTGTATCGGTGTGTGTATGAACCATAGAGTAGTCGTGTTCCAGGTGTACTTCTAAGAAGCAGGCGATCTGTATTGGCAAAGAAAGTATTGAGGAATGTACTATATTATGTGTTTAAATAAACGGAAATGGTATCTTACTGTCCGGTTCAGGTTCTGTAATTGCTATGCTTGTAAAGGTTATCAAGACTGGATGTGAAAGTTCCATTGTGTCACAATATCGATACAAATGGTCGGAATTCGAAGTGTAGTCGATAGTGGCTGTGACATTCCTGGTTAGAGGACGGTTGATAATGTTATAAATTGTATCCTATTAGTCATCAAAAAAAAAAAAGTACCGCATAGTTGCAAACCTGGTGTTCTCTATAATTGCTGTGATGAGAACCGACCCGGTGTTCTGTTCGAGTGGTTCTGAAACGGATACCAGGCGGCCTGTCAAATCTGAAAACGAAGAAGAATGCTCTTGTAAGGGTAAACTGGTAAGATGGGTTGCAGGGAATTGATTATATAAGTATTACCTGCCAAATGAGTAGTCTGTGTAACCAGGTGCGATAAGTCTTCAAACTCGATTTCTTTGAAGCTATCAATAGGGAATTTTTCTCTGAACTGAATTTCATCAATTTTTGTAAATTTAATTTCCGGAGAAATATGTAGACGAATCTCTCCGGGAGCAGCTCGGCCAGTTCGTTTTGCCTTAGTAAGAGTCACTGCCTGAATGTTGTACAATGTTTGCACCGAAAGACAGTTCTGCGCAAAGGCAATATCTGATTCCCTTGTAACACCTTCGATTAAGTTTTCCTGTTAACCGTGTGCTACCATAGATATCAGAATGGGACAGGGTTCTGAGAAGCACAACAGTATGCGATTTCATTAATTGTGTATGCGCTTACCTCCCGATCCATCCATAAAGTGTAGAAAAATTCCGGTCCGGTTCGCGGTATGAATTCATCAGATAGCCAGGCATGAACCAAACGTAGGACGATATGTTGGGTCAGCGAAGATCCTTGAAGGCCTCTGATTACGGCCGATGTCATAATCGGATCTTACAATAATAGCAAAGCGAGCATTAATTTATTAGAAGACCACCTGTACGTATACATATATATATTTGTGAATCAGTGGGTTTGTGATGAGACAAACCGGCTGGGTTTGATGGAAGCACGAAGTTTCTGGACATGATGGCAAACGAACACATGCAAGTGATCTGTATCGGCAAGGAAAGGCTAGCGTCTCGAAACCGGAACTGGATCTAAGAAACGGAGAGAAAGGGAACGAATTTAGCGTTTTTGTTAAGGTCGTGTTAATTTACTAAGCTGAAGTGGAAAGGTTAAGGAAGGAATTATTTACCTCAATCAGTCGTCACCTGGATCTTTCTCGCCGAATCTGGGTGGTCGAACGGCGCAAGTACTGTATATTGCGGAAATGGGAGAACAGAGAAGAAGGGCGGCAGGTGGGTGAAGATGGCAATGTGTAAATGTTCTGGAAAGATGGGAACTTAGGTCTGTGTGTGGAAACTTTGTGGGCCGACATGGAAGGGTTGGAACCGGTAATTCTGGATGGGCCATAGGTAATGTGGGCCCGTTGATTAGAGTCATATAGCTTAGGGAACGGTTATGTGTAGGGATGTCCTAGCATGTACAATTTTAGGACAACGATCATCGAGAACATGAAATTTAGAAGACCAAGATCACCTGGTTTGTGAGATCTTCGCTTCCTTCACTAAATAACCATTTTGATCTTAGTCTTGTTTGGCTATTTTGTGCGGTTCTACTTTCTAGTGCGATTGAAAGTGGGAAATTAGAAGAATTGTTTCACTATAGACGACTTTAATATCATAAAGACATTTAACAGAGCGAAGTTATAAAAGATGCTAGAATTATGTGTGAAAGGATAGTCTGGGACGAAAAATACAGAACTGAACATAAATGTTGCGATATGAGGAATAAAATTTTATTCAGTCGCAATAGTATATATCAATGGATTCATAGAGTTTAGAAATATTTCGTCTGTCGATGTTTTTCCGTTAATAGATTCAAGATTTGCATATTGCTTTTCACGATCAGTTGTTGTGGAGAAGTCAGGTGGTTGTTCGAGGAACGCAATTGTTACATTGTTTCCGAAGTAAACAGTTTGAAGTTTGCATTTAGTCGAGATGTCTGCGTACGCAACGTTCAATCTGGAATTTAGCTGTCGTATAATTAGTGAACGTGATCGTGTTCGTTTACGTATTGTGGAAAGGTGTGAAGATATTAACCCATAAAAAAATTAGCAATATTTATATAGATGCAATATTTGTTCTTCTAATTCAAAATCTAATTAAAACATCTTCCAACCATAATATGAGAACACATGGCACACTGACGGAGTTCATGTTCAAAATGAAATTGGTTCAGTGGCGCCAATTGTTTTTACTGCTACTCAAAAGGCGGAATGCACAAAAAAACAATAGAACTCCTGCTGTTAGGTCCGTATTCCCTTCATTCTTCCTTACTGAACCGGCTGATCCAATCTTGTGTTCTACCACCTGAAATAATAAGAGAAAACGAAGGCAATCATTATTAAATATAAAAGCTTAGTGGTGGTAAGCAGTTGTTACGTTGTTCTAAAGTGGGGATATAAATGTAAAAGTAAGAACATGTACCTTCTTCCATTGTAAATTGAGATCGCTGCTTATAACTCCAACTCTAGATTCATCAATGGATGAAATGCTTTTTGATGCCAAATTGCGTCCACGCGAATTTGTGGTTCATCTGAAATTCTGATCCAACAATGTACACTTCTGTCATAAATTTGATGTTGCAGAATTGTTCTAGCAACTGAATTCTTTGATCATATGGTATTGTCTGGAATTCCAGTGGTGGCATACGAATCAGAGCAAGAGCAGATGCATGATTTAGAACGACTTTTGCTTTCTGATTCCCTGATTCACACTCAGCTTGCAGCTCATAATACAATCTGAAGAATAGGTAGATTAGTTAGATGCGAACAGCTTATTGTTAGATTCATAGTAGGAAATAGAAAAGCAAAGGTGGTTCGGAAATACTCAGTCTCTGCATTTGAAGGTCTACTGGTTTCAGAACACAGATTGAACCTGACTATCGTCATTTTGCATCGATAAAGTATCTGTTACACAGTTTGATTTAGCAAGAATAAACAAATTGGAATCAGGGTGCATTCCATAACAACAGTACTATTAGAAGATAATCAGGAATCTATCTGTAGGTGAACAATAATATTTTCTTAAAAGAGTAAAGTAGTATGCAATAAATGATTACATTTACCTCGGTTTCTCGTTCTCCCAAAGGCACCTTGTTCTTTAATTCTAACAATGAGATTCTTGGAGGAATTTCTCGACGAAGGTATCCAAGGCGCTCTTTTGAGCTGTAGTCAATGATATCTACGGGCAGTCTATTATAAAAGAACCTACACATTTTCGTTTGTTACTTCAGACTGGGAGAGCAAATACAAACCAAAAACTATACAACATCTATAAGTCAAGCACTGTACCTGTTCATCAGTTTTTGTGTCATTTCATCGTACGAATGAACAATGAGGCGAGTTCCAGGAGACGTTACAAAGCAGAACGGGGGAATATGTGGAAAGTCATGCACGTTTCGGGTAACTGCTGTTGCTGTCACAATCAGAGGATAGTGAACCTCTTTGTAATCGGCACTGCGAATGAACTCCTTAATTCCTTTCCCAATATAGCTCACAAGTCCTTTGTTTCCACTAAAAAAGTTGGGAAATGGATTAGAAATTGTAGTGAAGATGAAACTCGATATAGCATGGTATAACAACGATTAAATAGAAGAAACTTAATGTCTTCGAGATGAATCTGGAACATGAATGTATCGGAATTCACTTTAAGTGGCTTCGTGATATGTGTCACACATCCCATGATATCTGAAATAAGAATATGTTATAGGTTTTCAGTTTTACATGTTCTATATTATGTGATTCTTGGAATATAAATTTCCTCATATATGAATTTGTGTACTGATATGAGGCCATGAAGTATAAAAATGTGTACCTGAGTAGCAGATTGGAACACTTATAGATGAAACACTGTCAGTGAAAGGAACCTGAAGAAATGAATCATCTGGAAAATGCATTGTGCTGCGATATTCTTGCATACTTTTGAACGAAGCTCCCGCTGTAAAATATAATCTCAAACTGGAAGGTGCAGTGCGACGTTTGGATTTAGCTGGTATGACAGTTGGGTTTATCATGGTATAGAGACAACCAACCTTCATGTTTTTGCAAATATCACCAGCATCCTCATAGCGTACATTCGCTTCCATAAGTTGTCCCTAAAGCAGTTCACATTGAATACTTGTTTTAATCAAGTGTTTCTGTTCATTGCATAAGAAGTGAATACAAAATATTCATAAACATACCTCTTTATCTAACCAAAGCATGTGCATCGATGAAGTAGATGCGGGTCCATTTGATTCACATTCTGACCATATGTTTAACAGTCGGGCCATGAGGAAATGACTGTTTGTTCCAGGACCCAACTCACGGAAGGTCATGGACTGACTCATCACAACTAACAGGAAAAGAAAAATGAGACGCTATATCTTAAACCATATGAAAAATATCCTCTTCAATTAGATATATGGTACCGTGTGGATCTTCTGGTAGCATCGTCCCTGCTGTTGTCGTCGAAGATATCAAATCGGTTTCTGATAGTTATGGGGTATAGGAAGAATTCCTTTCCTAAATTGTGAAATGAGACAGAGCTAGCAAAGTAAGAGGAACCTGTCGTACAAATATGGAACTGAAAACGATTGCGAAGTACTTACTGGGATATAGCTTTTGTATGGGGTCGGATTACAGAGATGGGGGTCGGCAGTGGGCCGATATTCCCTAACTTTTCTAGGGTTTTCTAGTCGGACGAAACCCGCAGCAGAATGGTGGAACAGTTCGTTTTTTTTGGTCGGGAAAGGGATTGTTTTGATTAAAGGGAAAGGGTTGGACACTATCCAATTCGTTACTGATGTGTATAAAAGCGGCGGGATGCGGTGGATTATAAAGGGTCGACCCGAAGGATGTACCCGGCCCTGCCGCTCATTTCTCGAATTTTGCGTCTGGCGTTGGGCTCGTTGTTGAATGAGTTCGATTGGGCTTTGTTCGGTGGGCTCAGGTTCCTGGGTGTCTGGAACTATGGTAAATTGGTTAAAATGGGCTGATATATCCGTTATGGCTGCGACTTGCTAACCTTTGGATTAGTGTAAACGATTATGTGGGTTTCTTGAAGGCCGTTTAATTTTGTAGCGTGTGCTAGATTAGATTAGATCATTTACTTGACCAAGTAGGTAAGGTAGATATTGATATTCCAGATCTCCTTACTTATTTTTTGGGCCGTATGTAATAAATTGCTAGCCACCACATTAGTAAGGCAAGTAAGCAATCAGCGGCCGAAGTAAGCAGTGCTTATTGGTCGTGGTCGGGAGAATAGAGATTACTCAAAAGAAACTATACATATATAGGTACAATCAATAAGTAAGTGTACTATCAAAAATCTCAATAAAGGCAATTAAGCAGATTGGTAGAGGTCGGCCGAAATGATTTCTCAATACTTTCATATATACAGATCGCCTGCTTCTTAGAAGTAACAAGACGCTTATACAGATCGCCAATACAGATCGTCTTGTTCAAATTGTATAATCGTCAATTACTGGCATCACAATTATATATGAAAGGATAGTTTGGAACGAAAAATGCAATTCTGGAGAGGAAAATTGCGGTATTAGAAAGTGAATTCTATGCAGCTCCAATAGTGTACATCAATGGATCCCATATGGTGGTGATACGAAGGACGGGCACAAAAAATTCCCTGTCATAGTCTGGAAATATTTCAACTGTTAATATTTTTCCTTTAACAGATTCCAGACTTGCTGATTGCTTTTCACGATCAGCTGTTGTGAAGAAGTCAGGTGGTTGTTGAAGAAGCGCAATAGCTGCATCGTTTTCGAAGTAAACAGTGTGAAGCCTGTACTCAGTCGAGATGTCCTCGCACGCAACATTAAATCTGAAATTTAGGCATTATACAATAAGTGAAGCTGATTGTGTTCATTTATGTACTATGGAAAGCCGGGAGGATACTAACCCATAAAAAATTGCCGAGTCGGGATCACTGTCGTGATCTGCATAGTAATATAAGGGTCTGTTTGTGTGCACATGATCGATTCTGATGAGGCACCAAGCATGAAACTTAGGAAACCCAAAAACAGAAAGAGTGTTAGTATTAGTAAGTATGTCAACGTCGGCTTAAATGTTCAGTTTGAGTTCAAAAGTTTACATCACATGGCCGGGATGAGGACTCTAGTATTGTCAGTAACTCCATAAGAGTTGTTCTCATAGGTAATTTTCCGCGAACAAAAACCGGAGGTGCTCCTGGACTGATACCAAGCTGAACAGGACGATGAATATGCGAGAAACTGAATGGACAGAATAATTAGGAAACGCAAATTAAAAGATAGTTGTAAATTTCATGAGTAGTTTTTCCCCATAACTTACGTGTCCTTCAGGTGTCTAAAACGATGCGTGTAGTGGCCTATTATGACTCGAGAACTTTGTGTGTTGGTGAAGCATAGTCTCCCGTCTCCTTAATCAAAAGTTGTTGGTAACAGATTAATTATAAATTTAAATAACTGACAATAAGACACGATAAATACAATGCACAAAAACCTTTCTTTCCGGTAAATTTCATCGCAGTTAATGCATACACAACGGGTCCTTGTTGTTCTAATTTTGTTATGAATGATCGTGAGAAAGCCTGGTGACGTAAGGTATACTCCACGAAAATAGTATCTCCACTGCAAAACGGCAGTATAAATGCTGTGACAAAGTACCAAAGGCTATGTAAAAGTGAAGTAAATGTAAACCACGAAAATATACATACCGATTATCTTGAAGTACTGCAGTCATTAAAAAATTATCACTGGACCGTGTTTTGTTTTCTGCTATTCTCAGCACTCGACCAACAATATCTAGGAAAGGTAACAGAACGGTCAAAGAATATTAACAAAGTGAATGACAAAATCGAAACAGATACCTTTATATTCGGCCTCTAAGTTCACGAACTGGGCAAGCTCAGAGAATGATGTCGGATTAAATCCTTTTTGTGGAAACCATGGACGGGGTGGAAATTCATTGAGTTCTTGTAACATGGTTGCTGGTGTGATGCATAAACGATATGGATGATCACATGTTCTATTCAAGGGCCTTCTTTCAATCGTTGATACCCAAGGAAGCAGATATATGCGATCAATTAGTAGATAAGAGGTCTCTGAATGTGCGGGAGTAAGACAGTCAAACCCCTCGATTAAATCTTCCTAAAAAAACAAAAAGTCACGAAATATCAACAATATGCAAACCTAAGCAAATAGATCTGAAGATAGTCGTACATTTTTATCAATCCAGAGTGTGTGAAATGTGGGAGGGTCCGACGGATCAGTCTGGTCTTTCTCGGTCCACCGATTCAGTAGACAGAGAATGATAGGGCCAACGTTATGACCAAGATGGAGGGAGCGAAGTACCAGAGGCGCAGTTGACAGATCTACATTTTAGAAAGGAAATGGTAGAAGGCATAAATGTAAAGCCATCCACCATGACAATAAAGTAAAGGATAGGTCGAAAAAGTTCAGAGCGAAACCTGTTTGAGCCCATGCGAGTGTGTAGTCGGTTGTCATCACTGGTCACAGGGGATCGGCGAATTCAGCGTTGCTGGAAGGGGCAGATGTAGATCGACAAAGCAGCGAAAATTCGAGAAAAGTAAGATAAGGAAGGCAGAATGGCGGTAGGTGTGGTTGGTGATAAGTATTAAAATGTTTGGGCCGTTGGGTATGGTTGGGCCGTTTGAATAAAGGCCTGTTAAAAATTGTATAGAATGTAGAAGATAGAAATAAGAATGTCTATGGGCCCTTTCTTCTCCTATGGCTCTTACCAAACTAAGATTGTCCAGGTGTTTGGTAATGTGCCATTGTAAACCAATGGTGGAGAAACAATACTGTTCACTACTGTTTTTTGCTCTTACTGTCGGTACACTGCTGGAATTCAATTTTTGATCTTCCGTATTGCAGTCTAGACAAAATGGGTGGTCTACGGAAGACTCGATTGACGAACCATCAAACATGGTGCATTCTATTATCTCCATCAATACATGGTGGATTAATCCACCTAATTGTCACTCTAATTAGCATCATCCTTCTGGGGATTTTTCGAAAGCGAGAATATAGAACAAGCAATTCTCCAAACGCTTTTTTTTTTGTCTTTGCTGAACCGTATCAGTTTTCCATCATTTCTCTGGCTCTCCCACTTTGCAATGATGCAGTGAGGCTTGGATTGATGTACGCAGGCTCTACTGTTTTGGGGACCTTAGTGGATGGCCTTTTCGTTGAAGATAAACTCGTAGGCACTTCCTCCACTGATTTACAAAGGCTGGTTGGAGGCACAATTTCTGGACTCGCAAAGAACCGAAAGTTCTACACCAATAGGGTTGTCAGTATGCGTGCTATATTAATAGTATGCCTGCAGACCAAGAAAAGACCAAAATAGATTCATGGGAAAAACTAAGAAAGAAATTAATGGTAGTATGTGTGCTATATTGATAGATTGGTTCGTCGAATTTGCAGATGGATACAGATTTAGTAGATACCTTGTGTCTGACCGTTCTTTATTGTAGACCTTCATCTTTTTCTCACACTCTACCTTCCTCTTCTTAGTGCTGCAGATGTAGGGTCGCCTGTCCTACAATTTGTCCAGAAGAAGACACGATCATTGGGAACCTGCTTGATGTTGCCATCTTTTTTGAAGGACCCACATCTTTTTCCACTAACCTTTCTAACCTGGGATAATATGCATACAAAGCAGTGGGAACCTATCAACAAATGAAGTAATTTAAGTTCAAACAGAGAATAATCAGGAGGTAGAGATGGATGAAGCAATATGGTGAACGAACAGAAATTACAGTTGCTTGATATTACCTCCATTGTGATTGCTGCGTGAGTATTGAGTTTGATGGTTTCTTGTTTGAGTGACGTTTCTTGTCTTTTGCAAAGTAACGTACCAACAGCACCAAACCACGTTTGTATTGAAGGACTCATGACCGACATGGATACGTTCCCTTCCAATCTTTCAATCTCTCTTGACTTTTGCCCTTCTCAACCTACCCAGTAAACTGTTCCAATTTCCTTCTGATAGAGCTTCGATTATCAGATATCAAAAAGGAAGTCATAGATAAGCAACCAAATATGGCCAAAACAAACATTTAGCTCGGGAGATACTGTGAACTGTAATTCTCGCATCGTTCAGGATATTCACATAACAAACTGCAGATGGGCAAATAACGACAATAGGAAGAGTGGCGAATGTATAAACAACAGGGCACGAACAGGAAAAAGGGTTCCAAGTCCTCTTAAGCCAGTGCTGCAAAACTAAGAAGTTTGGCAAGTGGAAGTGTAGCGGCACTTAGTGGTACAAAATATTTAAGACGACAATACAGAAGGAAGGTTCCTGACCTGTTCTACTATCTAGGATACCATAAATGAAGGCAAAGTAATGGAAAGTAAATAGTAAGTTGACTACAAAGAACATGACAAGCAAATGTACGAACAGCAGGGCGCGAACACACAAAAACAGCCCTCAAGTTTTGATAATCCAGTGCTGCAAAAGCGAGAAGTCCGGTAATTAGTGTGCCAGGGCTTAGGGATACAAATTATTTAAGACAAGAATATGGAGAGGGGGTTCTTTACCTCTTGTACAGAAGTGGTGATAAGGTAAATGGCAACTTCGCTGCAAAGAACATGACAGAGCGTAAATTAAGGTGCAAAATAGAATAGCTAAAATTATCCACAGGGTCAAAATATACCATTACAGCGGCCATGCGGTAGTTTCTGCTGTGCTTTCAAGACCATTAAGCGCCTCGTGATACACTATGTTTCGAGTGTAATTTGAGGGAATGTTTGGTTCATTAAGAATGAGGAACCGCAGACCTGCAGCTGTCCGGACTCTAGATACAGCAACGTAAAGCTGACCATGATTAAAGACAGGTTTTGGTAAATAAACACCAACACTCTGTAATGTTTGTCCTTGACTCTTATTGATGGTCATGGCGTAGCACAGACGAACCGGAAACTGACGTCGTTTAAGAACAAATGGCCAACGGCTGTCGTTGATGTTAAGGACAACTCTGGGAATAGCCACAGTCTTACCATTGAATGTACCTCCCATTATGAGACCCTTGATAACATAATGACCTAAGTAGACAATCATCAAGCGCGTACCATTACACAAACCTATAGCTGGGTTGAGATTTCTTAACAACATCACCGGTGTAAAGACTTTAAGGGCAATCTGATGCTCTGGATAGCCGTTGAAAGACAAGGTGTTGAGGAATTCTGTAGGATATTCGGCTTCAATTCGTCCTGCATCGGTTGCATCAGTATGCAACGTGTCACTGCTGAAATAAGTCCGCATAGGGCCTGGTACCAAAGAAAGCATATGATCATTAATTTCTGTAACATTGCTGTTTGTCGGAGTCACGATAGATCTCTCAGTCAAATATGAAACACTGTGAAATCTCTGAGAGAAATCAGAATATATTTCAGAAGTCATCTTATCAATGGGTGTATCTGTAGATTGGATCATAAAGGATTCTGGAATTTCTATCCAATCAGTTGGTTGGTTATCGGCAAAAGATTTGGCCGCAACAGTTCCATCACCAACAGAAAGAGTCCATTCTGCAAAGGTTTTTCCACCAAAAATCTGCCTTTGATTTGCAGCACCAGAAGTAACACGCATGTTCTGCGTTAAGTGAAGGACAGTGCACAAAGACCACAAGTAAGAACGTGTAAGGGATGCATCAACACTTTCTTCTCTCCCAGCATCAGCCACAATTGGTAAAGTCTGGCGAAAGTCTCCCCCGAGTAGAACTGTTTTGCCTCCAAACGGCACATACTTGTCACCAGTTAAAGGAACATCCATGATGTCACAGACAGCACGGTCAACTGCCTCAAAAGACAACCGATGAACCATAGGGGCTTCGTCCCATATAATGAGAGATGCACTAACTATTAATTCGGCAAGTGGTGTACCTTTTTTTATGTTGCAAGAAGAACCATGGTCAATTTCTAGGGGGATTTTGAACCGGGAATGAGCTGTGGTTGCATCAGGAAGCAAGGTTGCAGCAATTCCCGAAGAAGCAACAACAAGAACAATTTTGCCAAACTCCTTGAGATGGCCAAGAATTGTTCTATACAAGAACGTTTTACCAGTGCCTCCATGACCATGAAGGAAAAAGAAACCTGAAGATCCAGTCTGAGTAGAGAAAATAGAATTCATGATGATTTGGAACGCTAGCGCCTGCTGTTCATTCAGGCTAGTGAGAACAGGCATTGTGGAGTCACCATCTGGCAGAACAGGACTGTACATTCCATGAGTAGGAGGCGGTTGCAGCTCATATAATGGAGGGTCAGCTGTGGGGAGTGGGAGGTTAAAATGCGAGAGAGTTGCTGAATATCCATCTAGCATTCGTTGCAGTTCCCACAGTAATTTGTTTTTAGGCAACTCTGGTGGAATAAGATTGTTGTTGAAGGCGACATCTCGCTGACACTGATATGTTATATCATCTGAAAGCAGTTCCCATGTTTTATCAAAAAGACCCAGAGGATCAGATAGTTCACAGAACATGAGCATTGTAACAAATAGGTATCTGAGAAGTGGACACATACCCCACTGACTAACCTCTTTGATAACAAGCAACCATTCATCGTCGTTTGACAATAAACCAAGACGCTGACAAGCATCCTGATATGTACGACACGGGAATCCATTAATAGTACGTAGATCAGCAAAACTGAGGGCTCCGCGAATCTTTGTCAGAAGTTGTCTGAGGTAGAAAGTATCTCCACAACCTGGATGAATATAAACAATACGGCCAATTGAAAAACCCTTCTTCCTTTGAGCCCAGTTTTTTTTCTTCAAATCCCATATATATTTGTTTGGGGTCTCCGCATAGAGTAAGGAACGCGCAGAAGGGTCCCGCTGGTTAAGAGAAAACCACTGTGTAAGAGTAGTCTCTGAAATAGCATCGCGTGCAAGAATCCGTGATAGCTTCTGTTTCTTTCTATAAGGAACGCGATGCTTCCCTTCAAGATGCACACACAAACGCTGCACAGGCGGTGTTCTCTCATGAATAGGAAACTCAAAGATACGCCAGGCTGCTTCATATGATGACAAACTTCTGCAGTCCAAGTACTATTTAATCTCGTCAATTGGCGGAGGAGGTCCGGTTACAGTTGAGGAAGAAGAAGGCTGATCATGACTCTCTGCAACCACCATAGAACGATCTGGTCCTTTGGTGATATATTTGAAGAGATACTTAATCAAACGTCCTTGGTGGCAAAGTTCGACATTTATATGCGCTTGGAAAAGAACAAGCAAATTCCTGTTATACGGAACAATGTACCTATTATCAAGTACAGCCGATCCTTTTGGAGCCGATATGCCTGTGTCTCGTCTTCGATAAACCGTGTAGCCATACTGATCCGTTGTCGTCTCTGAATTAAACGATTTGGGAAAAATTTTTGAACAGGAGCCATCTTTCATGCAAACATTGGATGGATTATCAGAACCACACGGACCGTGAAGCATGAATTTTGTCGCCATTTCATAGCCAACCGGATCTTGTTCCGGATCTGGTAATTCAGCAGTAATTGTCGCATCGATGTCAACAGCCGAATTCAGTTTATGCTTCTCATCCAACCACAGCAGAATATGAACGTGAGGCAAACCTCTTTTTTGGAATTCCACTGTTTTGATACCTGTCCGTTAAAAAAAGGCAGAGGAATATAGTAGGTATTAGGTAGAGGTAGCGAAAATAAAGACATGATAACACAGAATGAATGAATGAAGCAGACTGACCTACACTTAACGATAAAACACTGTAGAGCATAATACTGTAACACCAACTTGGTAACAATAATATTACTGAGGATGAAGGAGTAAATTTCTGTACTAACAAAGTCACTATGGTCCACTTTTCATGACCCTGAACCACAACAGAAAGAAGGGCAAAGGAATGCTTGCAATATACGGAAAACATGCACATGGAGAAGGAGTCCTTATAAAAAATGTACGTGTCAAAAAACACGGTAGAGGCAATGATAAAGCAGACCTGCAACTGTCTTTCCAAAAAATTGTGACCTTGTAAGTTCATCCTCAAGATCATTAAGTTTCATCCGAAAAACGCGAGCAACTATCTGTGGTTTCAGTTCACTTCTGGTTCCGCACAGTTCACGAAACGATTCCGTTATTTCGGGCCACTGAGAGTTACAGGTAAAAGTGATGAAAAGATCCGGACTGCCATGATGATGAACAACAGCCATTGCATCCAAATATAACTGTTTCATGTACCGAGGACTGCCAGTATAGGACGACGGAAGGACAACATGGCCAACATCGTCACCTGTAACATCACCTCTGTCAAAAGCATCTGTGAGACCTTGGTACAGCTCAGCACGAAGTTCTTCCTGATGAGTACGTAAATAATAAAGTCTGTTCTGTTCAACTGTGGAAAACGCATCAACTATATAGTGCTGCAAAGCTTTTCCTCCACGCATCAATGTTTGTCCTTCATCATCCCTATGCTGCAAACGAAATGCGTAATACTCACGCTGAGTTATATACTTGCGTTTTAGAGTCGCCGGCACATGCACTGGATCGTACGGTATCTGAACATGGAAGCCATCTTCTCCATATGGAAAAAGTACAGGGAAATGTAACGCATCAAACTTAGGATTTACACTTGTAATTCTTTTGAGGCCTTCGGAACGGTGGTCGATAATGATGTCTCGTTCTCCCTTGTCAGGAACAAAATCTCCAGGAATTAAGCCTGCCAGTTCAGAACCTGTTGGGAGATCATACTGCCGATTTGTAGTGTCTCTAGCCCCCACTATTCGCAGCCTCATATTTGCAGTTACTGGATCAGCAAGTTGACTGCGAATTCTCCTGAATGACTTAACTAATTCGTTGGTGACGTCAAACAACTTCATAAGACCAGATACAATATCAGGCCTAAGAGAAGCATCCGGCAACGAAAAATGGTGCAACCTATCAGCAAGTTCAGTGTGGGGATCGAATACATACAACTGTGAATATCTCGGGCGCTGCCCGTCTACTGGAAGCAAAGAACCCATGCAGTGATAATTTTCACCACAGATGACAAATGAGTACGGTCCACGTGTCCGAGAAGCACGCGCATCTAATTGAGCTCCAAATGATGTAAAAGAGAAGGCAGCATTGTATGAGCGAATATGTTCTCGAAAGTGGACAGCCATTGGTCCACCATTTATCCCCAGCAACTGTTCAAGATAAGGAGGAGTTTCCTGAAGGAAAGGGAGTCGAACCCGACCTTTTTGGCAGCACATAGTGTAGATAGGTGTGGTTGAGCGATGCCGAGAAAGTCGTTCCTCGTACCAAAAGCGAGCACCACAAAACTGACATTCATAATCAGGCAAGCCATGAGTAATCGTTCGAGTAAACTGCGGCTGTCGAGCAGGCAGAATAGATGGGTCAGGTGTAAGCGAAGGAGCAGTGGAAGGGTCAGCAGATGGAAACTGCAGAGGTTCAGCAGAGATTTCTGGTATAGGCAACGAACTGGCTTCTAAAAGAGGGAATAGACGTGAACGACGGTCAATCCTGGAAACACGGCGACGTTGAGGTAAATTTGAAGCAGGTGTTGGTGGAGCAAAAGAAGGAGCAACCATAACACGGCGACGCTTCCTGTTACTTGAATGACCAGGAATCAGATTGGTCGACTGACCAGCGGAAGACTGAAAAAGCAATACAAACAATGAGGACTAAGTAAACATAATAGAAGATTAAGGTAGAATAAAGGATCGAATGGCAAACGAAAAACTAATTTACAAAGTATAAGTAAACACAGTCAAAAACTGGGAATGGTAAACAACGAATCCCAGACACAATCTCAACAAATATTATGGGGAGGAGGGATCACAGAACGGAACAGACGAGCACCGCCAAAATCGATGGTCTTACCATTACTTGCAGTACCAAGCAGGAAAGGCAGGAAATGCACAGAAACCTGAGGCAAAAAGGAAGCAGTTGAATAATAATGAACATGGAAAAACCAAAACAATTATTATGATGCGCATATGACGTATAGGAAGAAGCATATATATGACAAAGCATTTAAGAACACAGCACCTTCGTTTGAGAACCAGGACAGCAATAATGGATATGAAGTGAAGAGAAGATGATGAATAGTTGTATAAGGCTACTAAATATATAAATGATGAAAGCAAAAGCAGATGGCATGACATATTATGGAAAAGTTGTCAGGTACCAGAGGGAATAAATTAATGATAATCAGTAAGCTATGATGGGTTTCATTTAACACAACTCAGGAGAGGGAGACCTGGGCCGCACAGGCAGAATAATAATAGGTACCGCCCCAAAAATACGTCTCTGTAGATGTTATTGGAAGCAAGTAGATATGGAAATGTCAAGACTATATGTACAGGACAAAACCAAGCAGTCTGAGTAAGCTGTCCTTGCTAGTGAGCTCAAACAACAGTGTAAAGTGCGAGTGCATGACAAGCACCCAAAAAAAAAGGAAACCACAGTGGAACACAATGCTGAACCTTATATACTGAAAGTTGTTAGGCAACCGATTCTCTTTTCCACTACGACACCCATCCAGAATACTGGGAAAGATGGTAACTGACAAGAGCGACAATATGCTTTCTGAGACATAAGGTTAAACTCGGGCAGAACAAGTACAAAATGTAAGTAACTATATACAGAGCAAAAAACGGACAGGGGCAAAGTTGCTACAGTGTCTAATGTAGGCATGGTAAGATAGACAGTATCGGTAACCATGTGCAAAGCAAAAAGTCGACAGGAAGCAAAGTTGCTATAATGTCGAGCACAAGCACGGCAAAAAGCGACACTGTTCGGCATTGTTGGACGACACAAAACACAACACAAAGAAGCAAAAGCTACATCGACTTTGTGGAGGCAGTCAACCTCTTAACCGATGAAAAGTTGTTTCTTAGCAGACTTCTTACGGGCTGTTTTAGCAGGAGCCTCCTTCGCTTGAGCAGCAGATTCAACGACCTTTCTATATGGAGTCCGTGAACGCTTGGAACGACCAAGAATCTCAACAACCGGTGAATGAAGAGGAGTCTGATCAGTAGTGGCTTGGTCATGTACAACTGCGGTAGAGGGTCCACAGACAGTACCAAGGACCACAACATCATCCAGCAATGCATGATCCGACAGGGGCGACCGATCCTCCGCCAGTAAGCTGGTAGGTGACAAGTTGACAGCATGTCCAGGACATGTCAAACGTTGACGCGAATAGGTTATAAGCTGAGGGGCGACTTTTTCTCTAAAAGACAAAAAGAAAAGGAAAGGTAAGAATGCAAGGCACGAAAGTAATTAGAAAACAATAATCTAACAACCGGCGGGAAACAGACGTTTGAATTGAAGCATCGTCAATCACTTGAGCCCCCAAAGGACGGTTGGTTGTCCTGCGTGGTGTGCGCGACAAAAGCAGGTCATCAGAATCATTCACGGGACAAGAGCGATCTTCTGTCTCGCTGCAAATAGCAAATTCAATGTCATAGGAAGACAAAAAGGGGAAAAAGAAAAAAAAACAAAGGAAAAGAAAAGGTACGGACGAAGCAAGTACAGGAGGTCGCTCAGAAGATTTTCCATCCGAAATACCCACCACACTGTGGAAGACAGGAACAAAATAATGAGCCTCCAACCAAGCAAGTAATGAAAACAAGATGTTTGACGTAAGCCTCGACCCTAATGCACCAAGTGGAACAAACCTCGACTGAAGGGTAGCTTTAGTGGGAGACATCTTCTGCGATGGCTTCTTCCTCCGCGGTGAAATAACCTCAGCAGGTATCGCTTCAGCACAGCTGGTCGAAAAAGAAAAACACCGATAAAAATGTTGGTATTTCAGTCTGATAAGCAAAGAGAGGGTAATAGTTATCTAAAAAGCGCAGGAGGAATTGGACGGAAGGCAAACCAGTCAATCAAGACAGGCACAAAAAAAAGCATACATCTTCTGCGATGGCTTCTTCCTCCGCGGTGAGATAACCTCAGCAGGTATCGCTTCAGCACAGCTGGTCGAAAAAGAAAAACACCGATAAAAATGTTGGCATTTCAGTCTGATAAGTAAAGAGAGGGTAATAGTTATCTAAAAAGCGCAGGAGGAATTGGACGGAAGGCAAACCAGTCAATCAAGACAGGCACAAAAAAAAGCATCACAAACAAGCGAACCTCAAATGAAGGACAGCCCTGGTCGGAGTTCCCTTCCGTGATCGCTTCCTCCTTTGCGGTAAGACGACGGCAGGAGTTCCCGCTTCAGCATTGCTGGTGACGTAGAAACAAATGGTTTCACGTCTCTATACACTAAAATGCTATTTTCCTAGGCGCTAGCCATTCTAAGCCTCACGTAAAAAAGAGTTCACAAATTCAAAAAAAAAAAAAAAAGATACAACCGTTTTAGAATTCGTAAATACGTAACATGAAGTTCCCAAACTTGCAGACATGGACTATACTTAAAGCGGATCGATACAAAGCAGGTCTCTGACTGTCTACTAAGTAGCAAGAAGGGCAGACCTAGAAGCGGAGAAGAACCGCCCCAACCAACACGACATTTGAATTAGGTAGATCACATATCATGTTCACAGTTTAACAGAGCAAAGTGGAGGGGAAGTCCAACACGTATTCAATCAGAGTATGCTACCATCATCTAAATGAGGCAAAAACCACGCACGTAACGTACTGAGTATATAAAGAACCACATCAAGTCCCTAAGACAACATGACCATCCGGCGTATACCAAATAGAAACATAGGTATGTTTTGCTTTACAATACTAAATGCAGCATAGCATGGAGCTCATGTTCTAATGCGAACTGGAACTGAACCAAAGAGGACACCCAAAAATGCAACTCAATGCATCAAATCTGAAGGTATAAATATAACTGGAAAGAACATGTTCGCAAGAAACGTCCCAATACGGCACGTCTTCAAATAACATGTCCTCATTGACAAGGGTACAGAATAGGTATACACGCGATGTCTCTCCATTTCCAGGAACATAAATCCATAGTCATCCACTTTCACAAGCCAAAAACACAACCATATTCCCAAACGTACTTAGTATGTAAAATATCACAGCATCAAATCTATAAGAGAAAGGATTTAAAAAAAGAAAAAGAACGGTGTCATTTCTAAATCGTACATTTCCCCTATTCATCTTTTGCACGAACGGACCATTCCGGGTTCAACACCAATAAGGGTAAACCGTAGCAAAACAAAGCAAGATACACAAACACTCTACATTTACAATAGAAGGACGAACCTCGATCTAGAGGTAGTTTTATCTGTACTCTTTTCGCATGACCGATGCTCCTTTGGTGGAACGATTACGGCAACAGTATCCAATTCAACACGGCTGATTCAAAGAAAAAAGAGAAATCATAAACAGGAAGGCAAATAGGCTTGAGGTGTAAGGGCAGGAATTACTCAGAAGCAGGCTGCGGTTCATCCAACTGAGCAACAGCTACGGAGCGCGGCCTGACCGTTCACAGAAAAGATAAGTAAGGAGGGGAATTAATGATGTGCGGTTAAAAAAAGGGACAGCAAATGGAACGCAAAAAAAATCAGGAAAGACGCCCCACCTCGCATACAAAGTTGGCCGGCCTGCAGGCGTTCCAGGATGGAAACTGAACCGAGCAAACGCCATAAACAGAACAAACACATTAGGATAAAGAAAAATCGCAGACAAAAAGCACAATCACTCGCCACAATCAACAGGTCCAAAACACGGGGAGCACAAATAGTAACACAGACAATAGCACCAAAGCAAGCATAGGTTTACTGCTAATGGAAAGCGGTACACACGTAACGAATGAAAAGCACACAAACTCAAAGATGGGGCAGGGGGAGGAGAGGAGAATCCAGAAGTACTGCCACTGCAGGTAAAAGCCGTGTAAGTAACCAAAGATTAGAAATGGAAAGAAAAGTAAAAGAAAACACAACCAGAGAAAAACAGCAGAAAAATGTACTGCAAAAGGACACAAAAGTAGTGTGCATAAGAAGAAAGCACACACACCCAAAAAGGAAAAAGTACTGCACCCAAAAATGCGCAATAGTTCGAACCTAGCAGAGTTAGGCGACAGGGTGTCTAAATCTTTGCAACGACCAACCAAACGGGGAGTGGCAGGGCTTGGTTGGCTTTGGTCAGAGACCGATACGACGGTGAAGTCAAGAATACCACGGGACATGTACTGAGGTTTAGGGAGCTGCACATCAAAAGTCAAACGACGGCCGTCCATAGCCAAAATCTCCGGAGGCAGCTGACCGCGTTGGTAAGGGAAGCGATCCGAAAGTTGTGGGGCAGTAGCCCCCACAAGAGCATCAGCAACCTTCCCCATAAGGACAAATGTAGCAGATGCGGTGCCATCTTCCACAGTCAAGCGGATCTTATAGCTACAATGAGCAAAGACAAATCAAACACAAGAAGAGGTACAGAGCGAGAAACGCAAAAGTTAAGACCAGAATACCGATTTTCTGTTTGGTCTGCCTTCAATAGGCGATGCACATCGCACCAGAGGTCCACACCATCATAATCCTTCGCTGCTCTCGAACAAAGACCACAACCAAGATAATACCACTGGCTGTCTGCGTCAACCGAAATAATATCCGCGGAACAGTGGTAGCGAGTGTTCTGAGAGAAAAACCAAGTGCAGCAATATTTCGAGAGCAGCGAAGAAAGAAACAGCAAAAAATCTCTTCGAAAACAAACCCAAAAATAACCACGCAGACTAATAAGGCTCTTGAAAACCCCAAAAAACGACCGACACGTCCTAAGAACAACAAAAACAGCAAGCAACATCTCCAAAAACGCACATCGATGGTGGAAGAACGACACATGTCCAGGAGCGCCGCAACAGTTTTCGTACACGAATCCTCAAAAGCAGCAGCCTCGGCAGGAGTTGCAAACCTCGGTGGGTAATACTGAACGGTATTCTTAGCGGCAAAGGACATGGAAAAACAGGTAATCAAGAGGCAGGAAGAGCCCAACACAGTAAGATGGTAAGGGAAGGAAACCTGGTACGTACGCTGATCGAATTACATCTGCCATGTCAGAGGACGGTTCCAAGAGAATGCGCGTACCAGGAGTGTTCGAAAGTGCAAAACCACCTTAAGAGAGGACACGAATCAGTCAACCAAAGACGGATAAGAGATAAAATGAAAACCAAAAAAAAGGCAAGAAAGGCAAGACCTCGCGTCGCAGCAGTAACCTTAAGGGACCCGAGAGCAAGAACGACAACCCCATCACGGCCAAGAAAGGCCAGTTCCTCGCCGTCAACAGCGCGTGCAATATCGCCCCAAAGCGTAATATCAAGCAACATATGGCTGAAAGAACGACAGATTGGACAGCTACAGAGGACAAGAGGGAAATAACACGTAAGAAAAACAACAGACGAATAAGTTAGGAGAACACAGACCTTTCATTCTGCAACACCAGTTCCCGACGAACGTTGTCGCCAAAGGTTGTAAAAGTATGGGAAAGGCCTGTAACACTAACCACAGAACCAACTACATCTGCAGAAAAAGAAGGCGCAAGATTGGTAGGGATAAGTAAACAACCTGGGTTGAGCAGAGAAACAAAAAGACGAGGAAGAGAAAAACGAATGGACAACCTGTTAAATAAGACGGCGAGCGAATACGAGAATGGAGAGAACTGAAGGGAACAAATTCGAAAGCCTCCGGGCAGAAATTGGGCGACGAAGCAGTGACATCTTCGAACTTCGTATCAATCGACAGAACGATCGCTAGTTTGTGGGAGCAAGAACGATAAACAGGACCAGGAGGTTGAACCCGAAAACCACTAACAAAGTAAACATTCCCCAACTGCAAGAGGGCGGAAAAATGATCCGTCAAATTGGGAGGAGCCAGACCTTGAATTAAAGTTCCCTGGACGAAAAAAACAAAAAACACATCAACAACAGGAAGAGAAAAAACGCAAATAACAGCAAGCAAGGTAAGTAAAAGTAGACCTCTTCATCATTCCAAAGGGTGCAGTAGTTAAAGATCAGAGAAGGATCCTTCAAACCGTAAGACCCCCAAGCGTGGACCAGGCGCAATTTGAGCAACGTGTGCAGGCCGTCATTTGCACCCACATCCAGCAAAAGCTTATGAGTAACCATGGCGGAAATCAAAGGGAATCCAAAGAAGACGAAGAAACAGAGAAGAGCAGATAAGGAGGTTCAGGACCAAACCGAGAAAGCAGAGTATAAGAAAAGAAAGAAGCAAAAGCAGCCGGACCTGAGGCGGTGACCGACCCATCGGTATGAAAAGACAGGGCCATCTCGGCCGGACCTCGAGGAACCCCAAAGCAGCGGCGGCCGAAAAGCAGAAGAAGAGAGAGCCAGCCACGAGCAATGATGGTCACAGAGCAGAGGAAAAACAAGCGGGATCACTTGGCCGTGTACTGAATTGGGAACAGAAATGGATTGGGAACAGAAAAGGAAGCAGTATTTCACAGCACAACCTCCCCTAGGTCTAGCTTGTCTAGCCCGGCGTTACAGGGCCATCTCGGCCGGACCTCGAGGAACCCCAAAGCAGCGGCGGCCGAAAAGCAGAAGAAGAGAGAGCCAGCCACGAGCAATGATGGTCACAGAGCAGAGGAAAAACAAGCGGGATCACTTGGCCGTGTACTGAATTGGGAACAGAAATGGATTGGGAACAGAAAAGGAAGCAGTATTTCACAGCAAAACCTCCCCTGGGCCTAGCTTGTCTAGCCCGGCGTTTCTTTTTTCCAGGCGTAAGAAGAAAATTAAAGAATAAATTACAGGGTAGATAGGATTTGTAGGCTGACGTTTTTCCGCCCCAGAGCAATGATTGAACTAACGGGAGGAAGAAGAACTAATTAAAGAAACAGAAAAACTAACGGAAGGAAAAAATCACGGCAACGGCACCCACTGATGGGACATTAATGAACAGTGCAGTTCGGACACGTCTTATGATAAGAAGAACAATTAAGTAACGTTTCTAATTTATGTGCTGTCTCCGAAGGGATAATGACGATGATGCGACACAATTTGATAACAATGAGATTGCATAGATTAAATAAGGGGAGACGTAGTTTATGGCCATGGATAACTAAGGGGAAAACAAAAGAATTGGCCTTTCAATTGACTCGGTATATGTATTTCTAAATTTTATATCTAATTTCTAGCACTCTAAAGGCTTATTGGAAGGATGTTATGGTTACCATTTCGTTTAGTACACAAGCCATGGTCACGATTAGTGGCTTAGCTATAGTTTGAGTTAAGGTGGGTCTAATCTGAAAAAATTTGTGACATGATTTTTATTGATGAATTGATAACCAATCCAATCGCAAAATAATTAATTTTGCATATATGTTCATTTGGATTTGACATCTAATACCTTATAAATATGAAAATTGGTCAATTTACCCCCATAACTCGAGCCAATAACTCGACACATTGCCATCCATATTCATAAAACAACCACAAATTAATATCATAGTTTGCATTTGTTCCAACTTTAAAATTTAAAACAAAACATTCTTTTCCCCCCTCAATTCTGAGTCATATCATACCTCTAAAATGAGCTTAACATTTTAAATAAAAATAATAATAAAAAACACGAAAACATATTATGAAAAACCGAAACCGATGTTTGTTCTTTTCTCTCATGACTTATTTTCATTATGCGTCTAGGCTTAGTTAGCAAGGTCAGCTTCACCCCTCCAAAGGTGACATTACAAGCCTGAACCTTCCTTTCATCTTCTTCATCTCCTCACTCGAATGTATCACTATTTTCTTCACCATCTTGCAGAACTCCCTGCAATTACAAAAATATGGTAATTGACCCCGTTAGACTCAAAACATCATAAATCTATATATCTATATATATAATACTTCAAACTAATCAATGGTGCACTGTCGATTTCATCACTATCAAGCTAATTAAGAAGTTGCTAATGAATGAATGACTACTTACGGCCATGGATCATCACCAACAAGCATCATGTCACCTTCATCGTCAATGAAGACAAGAACCCATTTTTCAGCAGTAGAAAGCTGATCTCCTCTGATGCCAAACATCTCTTCCAGTTTGGTTATCAGATCCTCGTACCCATTTAAGGTAGTTAAGTCGACAGTTCGGCCGAAAGCAGTCCCCTGCATATGCACCTAATTCATGACCATATATAGTAACATTAGTAAAATTTACCTTACAAAAAGATTGTGCACTTTTAAAGAGTAGAAAGAAATTAAAGAAGCTGTAACTATATATACCACCAACCTTTGTACGGTTATACTGATTCTTGACAGTTGATTCAGTACTAGCCATCATTAATAGCTGCTGCTTTCCAGTAACAGAGCTGGTGTTAGCAGTAATGTTGCTAGCAAGCTCGATTCCGAAGATTCGACATCCCATAGGATGGTGATTATCAGCTCTCTGCGAACCCATTTGCTCGTTCCATATTCCTGATGATGGAGTAGCAGTGGATGAAGAAGCCTTGTTGCTGTTGAAACCAGGGGTTGAATTAGGAAGGAAACCTTCCAAATTATGACCATTATTATGGTTGTTGTTTTGGCCTTCAAACCCACTTCCCAGAAGTAAGGTTGATTCCTCCTGGTGAGATTGAATCGACGACCTAGGACGCCGGGTGGAGTTACTAGCTGCATGAATTTGTAGAAATTGAAGTATGCATTATTTCTATCAATCGGTTCAAAACACTATGTGCATATCCATAAGAACGACTCTACACTTGCTCATACATATATCATGCTCCGCAATAAAACTCTACGTTTCTTAATTATAAGTTTATGAGAGTAAATTAAACTCTATTACCAATTAGGTCTCGCATTCGAAATTAGAAATCTATGCAGAAACAAATATTTATTTGAATATATAGTTAGAAAACTCACAAAAAATTTTAGTCGATAAGAATTAAAAAAAAATGAACAGACCTCTAGTATAAGAATTCGAAAATGGAAAACTAATCATCATTATAAACGTGATATGAATATGCGTGATAAGCTGACTTTTAGTTAAATAGTCGAAGAACTTACAAAAATGCCAATTAATAAGAATTCGAGAGCACATCGCCATAATATATATGCGTCAAATACGAACAAAGATGTTTGATTTCATGATAGCAAAAATAAAATGATAAACTAAAAGAAATAAAAGTGAGAATTACTAAAAGGTTCCAATATAAGATTAAATGAAACGAAACAAATAAATGTGTCTTGCAAATAAAAGAAAATATAAAATATGTAAACATGTGAGCTTAGTGTAATGTAACTAAAGTTTATGAAAATTAAAAAAAACACCTCCTCTTAATTAATGAATAGTAAATTTGAAATCAAAACGTGTATATATGAAAACAAAATATACCTGCAGAAGCTAGAACATCTATGTCAAGCCTCGACCTTTTCTTCCTAACTAACGTTTGAGGAAGAACACTACTTTGCAAAGATGGATCAGCTGCCAAAGGCTCTATCTCCCATGGAGAAACACTGCTGTCTGCCTTCTCAATTCTTCCTTCCGATTGATCCCATCGCACCTATTAGGCACGTCAAATAATAAAAAACAACCAACTGCATTAATTACTTGAAAGTGTCATATATATATATACAGACCTTGAGCGATCGCCATTGCGAGCCTGGCCAGTATTGTGAATAATCTCCAATACCAACAATGGTGCCTGTGAATCCATCATCACCAGCACTCTTGAATCGCATGCCCATATGATAAGCACGGCTAGTGGCTTTCAGATACTTGTTTATCCCAACAAGGAACGGAGTTGTTCTGTAAGTACAGGGAGAAAAAAAAAAACCCTCCAGAATAAGATCGCGTAACTAAAAACCAGTTTTCCTGTACTGCAAATCATAATATCTTGATCTGGCTGGATATAAAAAATTGCACAAACATATATACCTAGGCTTATAATGGACATAAAAGACGGTTTCCGGTTTAATGGAACGGTTAGTGGAACAAACAACTCCCAAGTAAATGATCTGGCTCGATATAACAATCGATGCCTGCTGCTGCCGCCTGGGATGACCACGACGAACCCCAACTCGCAGCTCGCCGTTGTACCTCAGGAACACGATTTCGTCTCCGGCTACTAGCTGCTTCTTATTGACGAAGTCACTCCATCCTGTGGAGAGCATATGCCTTCGAGGTTGGCCTTCACATAGCACAATCATTCGATGGCTTAGCTAATCAACGAATATCGAGGCGATGATAAGAATGCAAGATGAAGAAGTCAGATCCTCACCCCTGTATATGTGCCTGAAACGCCATAGATGACCCTGGAGATCTTTGGCGGCGAATTCCTGAGTTGGAGTACTCTTCTGGATCATATCCTGATATTATCAAGGCGAAATTCAGAAAAAAATGGTAAGTTCGGGCTTGCAAAGTAGATGGAGTGATTGAATGAAAGGAGATACATGGTAGAATGATAGTGAATTTCACCAGTGGAGGTAAGCATTCAATGGCAAGCTTCTTCGGAATGGAGAAACCACCATGGGTGCTAGCATCAGAAGTTGATAAAATCTTGTTGTACGACTGAACCGGTTTGGGCGGTGGAGACTCGGGCCGGTCATCAGGTTGAGGGTTTCTGAGTGTTTGCTGGTCGATTTTAGAATAATAACGTTTAGAATTACTGTTAGTATTTGAAGAAAAAAATGTTCGAAACTATGGAACTGAAGAAGATGAGAGAGACAGAAATCTCACATCAACTTCCGGATGAAGAGTGATTCCGACATAAAGTTCGTCTGTGCGACGCTCAATCTGTGAAAATTTGTTTCATTCGTGATGGTTGAAAGCTAAGAGAAACGGGAGAGAAAAAATTGATTTTTTGTTTATATATATTTAAATGGTGGATACAGAAATTTGAGAGAACGATCGAGAAAATAGAGATTTACCAATCTTTCAACCTTGGTATCTCGACACAAGATTTTCGAAGGGATATTGATTTCGGGGAGTTTCTCGTTCAATTGTTGACTCATCCAAGCTTCCAACTGTGCCTGGTGATAGTATAAAAATGATGAAGAGACTAATAAAATGAAAATAAAAAAAGAGGGCAATGATCAATATATTTGAAGGGAAAGAAAATGACTCACTTGTTCCATGTGACCCTGGGGGATGTAGTACAAATATTGTCCTACTTTTGGTATGTCAGTCCAATCCCAAGCACACGCCCTCCATAACTCATAATCAGACTCTAGTCGCAATGCAAAAACATAGTCAAAATAATCCAAAGTAAATAAATGGTCGGATCGGAGACGGATAATGAAAATAAGTCATCTTGTTTTAATTAACATGAATATTGTTTATATAAAACAATCATTCATGAATATTCTATATGTACAATGAGTATCGAATATGTTGAGAGAAAAATGATGAACTATAAATATAGAATATATTGAGAGAAAAATGACGAATTATTAAAAAAAAACACATAAAACAAGAATGATCAGGTTTAGACAACGAGAAAATATGGTGAAGTATGGTTCAGTTTAAGGCATCAAAGCGATGGTTCCATACGCACCCAACCGTAGGATAATCTCATAGAGATCGTATATATATGTGTATGTATTTTATCCATGTCTAAAATTACTCAATTAGTTCGAATTTGACAGCTTCTTATAAACTAATATCGAACAATCGTCCATCCTACAATTGGAGAGATTTAGCCACTCTCTTTTGACTAACAATTACAGAGAAAGATAAAAAGAGAAGAAAATTGAAAACTCAATTGTACATCCATCAACAACCAACTAACCCATTGAAAATTGAGACTCACAACCTTCTTTTCTCACAGTCATGAACTCGTAGGTACTTGTTGGGCCAAAGAAGCTGGTCCAGTCCATTTGAGTACCATCGCCCTTTGAATGAGCCATGAAAAATGAAAGAACAAGAAAAGAGAGTGAAGAAGAAACAAAGAGCTGAAAAATTGGTGGGGGGAAGAGAGACTGTGAGAGTGATGAAGTAAAGGAATGAGACTATCCCCTAAATAGTGAGACCAACAAGAGTGAAAAAGGTATAACATTAATTAAAAGTGCAAAAGGACATGAAGCATTTTCACAAGAAGGTAATTGAATGATTTAGATACGACTTAATAACTGGAGAGAAATGTCAGTGTGCCCTTTTAGTGATATCACAAAAGAACTTGTTCCTGTTTTCGGTTTCATTCATTCTTTTGTTTCAACAAAGACAGAAAGGTCTCATGCATGCGATTTTAATTTCTTTTCATATATTGGTTGTTCCAGCTCATGTAAGCAGATTCTGGTTAGACTGTTAATTTAATGCATTAGTCAGATGTTTGACTTGTTAAAAAAGAAAGTTTTTTATAGCGATGTAGTAAGATGTTATTGACTTCAAAAGCGTTACAGTAAATTATACAATTGACCGTTATGACGTCATTTTTGGATTTAGTTTTGAGACTGTTGATGATTATAGTTGAATGCAAACATGAATTGTTCATTATATTGCCCTAATTTGCTTTGTTCTTTGGTTTTTGTTGTTAATATTGTATCCTAGAGAAGACAATGAATCATAGAAAAACTTGTTGCATTTTTTCGGTTTTGATGTATCCTTCTGTTTGGGCATGAGAGAAAAGTAGGTTTCATCCTTTTGGTTCATTTTCATATATCTTAATTGTCCAAGCTCATGCAAGTAGATTATTTGGCTTGTAAAAAAGATAACTTTTTTTTATAACCATTATAGTAAAATGTTAGACTTCAAAATGGGAGCGTATTCAGTCAATAACTATGCATAATCCAATCAAAATACGCCACATCAGCATCCCTTCTCTCTTATGAAAAACCTTTAATTTTCCCTCTTAATCTTTAACGAACGATTTCTTACTTGTTTTAAGTCGAAATTTAATTTTTTCCACAGTTAGATCAGATTAATTGTGCTTTTCAAAACGATATCCACTTTTATATATTTTTGGAACAAAAAAAATTGACCCATTTTTTACCAGTCTATACCATATGGTATTGACTTGTATTGAAATAAGAGCATGCCTATGGCATGAAAAGGGTACCATGGTGGTATGAACAAACCAAGGCTGTAGAATGGTTGAATACATGATAGTAGAAGTATATTAACTGTCATTTACGAATTTTAACATTGTGTACTACAAGATACCACCCTGTACTAGGGTGGTATTGTGTGGTATTCTTTGGTCTTGTATTTTTTTCACCCAAAAATTTGTAGATCCAACAGATTATGATGAACTCGTTCTTTCTGTGAAAAATTTTTCAAAAACGTATTAAGGATATCATATGGTATGCAGTTGGTACCGAGAGGCATGAAATTTTTTTTCTCAAAAAATATTGAAAATGGATCTCATTTTTTAGAGCACAACGAACTCGTTCCATCTGCAAAAAAATTGAAAACAAAGTTAAAACGAAGAAAATATGAGTCGATTAAGAAAACAAGGGAAAAATAAAAAGATTTTTACGTCTCCTTCCTATCTCAATTTTTTAAAGAAAAGGTAAAAATTTAGTTATTGATGAGTGTAACTTGAGGTCTTTAAAATCACACTAAATTATCAAACAGTTACCCGTTACGCCATAAATTTTTAGATTTCTTTCTAACATTGGTAATGATTATGGTTGAATGCAGAGATAAACAATTTATTAACTTGCCGTAATTTGCTTCACTCTCTGATTTTTGTTTCTAGCGTAGTTTCTCTTTGCTTCTGATACAGGTAATGATTACGGTTGCATGTAGTGATGCAGGGGAACGGCTACGGTGCTAATTGTACAATAGTTAGCACCATCCTAACCAAGGGAAAAACTACTACTAGTTTGAATTAATAGTGATTTAGCTTAAATGTTGTATTGATTTTATAATAATCTGTATTGATTTTTGCTAGTTATCACGGTGCTAACCCCTATAAGGATTAGCACCTAATCCCATCCCTGGGATGCAGACATAAACGATATATTATCATGCCGTAATTTGCTTCACTCTCCGGTTTTTGTTTCTAGCGTATTTTCTCTTTACTTCTCCAATAAGAGTTTGTTGCACTTTTTACTTTTTCAATCATCTCTTTTGTTTGAACAGGGATAGAAAAGTCTCCTTTTCTGTTTGTCTTGCTCTTCCTTGGTTGCTTAAATCAACACATACAAACAAATCCCTCGAACAAATCAACATAATGAGTAGGATGGTTGCCTTGTAAAAATGGAATACCCTAGATGGAGTAATTGTGTGATTCTGACTTTAAAATTGGTATCGATTATGGAATTATTTTACCATTATGCCATCACTCCATATTTCTCCTTTGTTGTAGCATCGAGGGTGGTTGATTGAGGATTAGTCGTCAAAGAAAAGATAGTATAATTACATCCAGAGCATCGTTATGGTGCTAATGCTAATTAGAATCAATACATAAGAGATATTAATAAGGAAAAGGTTCTTCATTTGGATTCGGTGGCCTCAAAAGTCCATACTCTCAACAATGGGGATCCAGTGACCTCAGAACTCTGTACTTCTTTAACTAAATCATAGAACTTTGGATGTCCATCCAAAACCTAAATTTTTTGAAAGGTTTTGGAATTGGTTTTACCGTTTTAGTGAAATATTTGTATTCACCATTATAGGACAATGATTCGAAACCAGAGGTTCTAGCATTCTTCATTTCACTTGGTGTAGCATTCTTCATTTCACTTTGTGTGAAATCATCTAACCAGCATCACTCACCTGTTTTTTGCAGATGATTCTTATCTGTTCCTCCGGGGTTCTCTGGAGGAATGTGAGAACCTGATTGAAGTACTGAATGAATACGAGGAACTAAGTGGCCAGAGGGTTAACTTAGACAAATCCGCGGTATGCTTTAGCAAAAACATAGCAGTGCCTGATCAGGAGTTCTTGGCCCAGATTTTGGGGGTGGGGGCTGTTGGCGTCCATGACAAGTATCTGGGATTACCTACGTTGATAGCCCGATCTAAAATGGATACTTTTCGGTACCTTGAAGAAAAACTCCTTGAGCGCCTGCAAGGGTGGAAGCAAATGACTTTGTCTTGGGCGGCTAAGGAGGTTCTGCTCAAATCTGTAGCCTTGGCACTCCCGTTACATGTCATGTCCTGTTTTAAACTTCCTCTTTCCCTGTGTAGATTGTTGGATAAGCATGTGGCCAGGTTTTGGTGGAATGTGGTGGAAGCTCACCCTAAAATTCGATGGATGTCATGGAGAAATATGTGCCGGAGCAAACATGATGGGGGCATGGGGTTCCGCCGTTTTGAGCTATTCAATCAAGCCCTGCTAGCCAAGATTGGGTGGCAGATCATTACGGATCCCCTATCCTTGTTAGCTCAAGTCTATAAAGGAAAGTATTTCCCCTCAGGGACGTTCCTGACGGCTACTGCTCGATCCCGGCCGTCCTGGGGCTGGCAGAGTATTCTATATGGCAGGCAATTGCTGGAGCAAGGGGTGCGATGGCATATCGGTAATGGGCGTGGTGCCTCTCTACTTTCTTCTAACTGGGTGCCGACCCTTCATCCCTCTCCCCTGCAGTATAACCCCGTGGTTCTGCCGGATGAGGGTGACCTTCGGGTGGAGGCAGTGATCTTTCCTGGGGAAGGGCGATGGAATGACTCAATGCTCAGGCAGTGGTATGACCCCCCTACATGTCGTGCCATTATGCGTATTCCGCTCCCACGACATAATATAGAGGATCGTCTTGTGTGGAATGACACAGCTGATGGGGTTTTTACGGTAAAGTCGGAGTACCACCTTGCGGTTAGGTTGGACCAGCAAACGCAGCGTTGTAAAGCTACAGTTAGTTGGATGGATAGGCCAAGCTGGATCCGATTATGGGAGGCCAACATACCACCTAAGCTCAAGGTGTTTGTTTGGCAAATTTTTAATCGGATTATCCCCACGACTGAGGCCTTGCGGAATAAAGATGCGTTGGTCCACCCTAGATGCCCGGTATGTTGGGATGCTGAGGAAACCATGGAGCATTTGTTTCTGGATTGCCCGGTGGCTAGGGCGCTTTGGGATTATGCGGGGCTTGAATATTTGGGCCAGGGGCTGCCTCGCCATACTTTCCCGCTCTTTCTTAAGCGTATGTTGGCCCTCATTCAGCACCCGGAGTTGGTTATGACTGTGATTGCTGTACTCTGGAGGATCTGGCACTCTCAAAACTGGGTTGTTTTTTAGGGCAAACAATTCGGGGTCCCGGCCTTGCTGCGGCAGCTAAATCAACAGGTGGATGAGTGGTTTCGGATGCTGGTCGGGCGGAGGAATCCTGTTCTTGCTCCCGGGCCCCGTCTACTATCAGTGGGGCTGGCAGCCAGATTATTTGCATGTGGGATGGGGCAACGAGACAGGGGTCACACTCGGTGGGAGGAGTAGTGGTGATGACCCCTTCTAGAGATATTTTGATGGCTCGAGGGTTCCAGTTCCAGTGCATTGATGACCCTATGGTGGTGGAGGTGTTGGCCTTGCGCGAGGCTTTATGCTGGTGTCTGGTGAACGGGTTCTTGGAGGTTTGCTTTGAAGGGGACGCCAAGGTGGTCATTGATAAGATCAATAGTGCGGCGGTTGGGGATACTCGGATGGGTGTGGTTTTAGAAGAGGTGGTATCGTGTTTTGCCTCTCATCCAGGTTTTCGTGTTCGATTTGTAGGTTGTTGTAACAATATGGTAGCCCACTTGGTGGCAAGAAAGGCCCTTTCATTGTCTCCGACTACGAGTCGTTTGTTTGATTTCCAGACCTGGCTTTACTCCAGGATGTAACTATCTTTTTTGATTCTATATATATGAATATCTTTTGTAAAAAAAAAATAATAAATCATCTAACCAGCCAATGCTCACAAATAGTACTCTATCCAACCGTTTAGCTGTGGGTTTACCTAGTTGGTGATTTATTCCTGTTTACCAAGGACTTTGTATGTTCTTCAACTTCCAGATCTACTAACCAATCCTTGAAAGGAACCATTTCATTTTTAAAATACAGGGTTAGTTTAAGCTTCAATAGAGTCTGATATCACATTTAAATCTCCAAGCATCATCCAAGGGAATCCGGTAACCTTTAGTCGAGTTATTTTATATAAGTTATTTGGTACCAAATAACTCAATTGTATGCAAAAGGTTGTGATGAGTTATTTGTATAGAGTTATTCTGAAATAAATTAATAATGAGTTATTGTGAATGCCACGTGGGGGCGGTTATTCGGAAATAACTCACAAATACCGCATAATCATTTGTTAAGAGTTGTTTCCATTCTTATAATAACTCGTTAAACAGTAACTCATCAAAACGGCCTCAAAGACTTTATTACTGCAAACATCTCACCCCTTATATTA